GAATAATAATCGATTAAATTAAGGCAAATAATCGATTAATAGGCTCTGTCCGAACTAATCGATTAATTGCTGAGAAATAATCGATTATTGTTCAAAAATGAGCAGCCTGCTGAAAAGCTTAAAAATCGATTAAAATGGAGCAAATAATCGATTAGGAGGCTCTGTCCAAGCTAATCGATTATTTTAAGAGAGAAAATCGATTAAGAATTCAAACCTGAGAAATTGCGCTGGATCTAATCGATTATGTTAGAGTAAATAATCGATTAACATGAAAATAATGCGCAAACACAAAGGGCCCAAGGCAAGTGCGATTGGAAGCCCTTTGGCTTCTAACTCGTTGTTTGAGACAACGAGAATAAAAGCGCTCCAACGATTATATCTCCCTTATTCAATGAATTTGAGTAGGGGAGAAAAAAAAAAGAGTCCAAAGATTATTTTGTGTGTCAAACAATACACGAGAAAATATTTAAAGTATATTTTTCTCACCAAGGAAAATTGTATAACTTTAAAAATTAATGTTTTTAAAAGAAATTTTGACACACTCATTTTGAAACTCACTCACTAAAATATTTTGGACAGAGAAAAAAAAAAGATTTTTCAACTGACTCAAAAATAATTTTTATCCCTCAGAAATTAAATTGTTTTGTGCAAAAGATATTGTCACCCTTACAAGAATCCTAGACTCAATAAAAATTTAAAAGTCTTCGGAGTCTTCACATCACTTCAAAAAAAATTGCGTTGGGGGACCGTTGATTTTTAACCCGTAACTTTCTTGATACGTCTCTTTTCTTTTCTCGATACGAAAAGTAAATTTTCGATCATCGTTCGAATTTCATCATCCTGTTTGTCATTTATCAAAACAAAAATATTCCAGAAAAATAATAAAGGGGTTTGAACTCATGTCCAACAATTTCCCCCTTTTTGATAATGACAAACATAGTTGAGAAAAAGAAAAGAATACTTCCCTTAAATGATTCCCCCTGCAAGGTTAGAGAAGTGCAGCAAAAATAATCATCGGAGTAATAAGCGGAAAAATAAATCTCAACTAGAAAAATAAATCTCAACTATCCTTCCTTCCCCCTTTTGGCATTATCAACCGATAACTTTCCCCCTTAAACAATGCCGGGATTTTGAAGGAAAAGAAAGTCAAAAGTTTTCTTTAAGAGAGAATTTGTAAAACGCCACAAAGGGTCAATATGTTTTAAACAAGAGCAATATTGCCAAACTAACAATGATATTAATACATAAGAAGTTAATATCAACTAGCAGCATCATCATCCACCAAAAGAGTTAAAACAAATATCAATGTATCATAATCAATCAAGAGAAAGAAAAAAAAAACAATCAAAGAGAGTTCGCCGGACGAGCTCCTCCGCCAAAGCTGTGACGCGGGCCACGGTAGGAGCGAGATTGCTCAAGACGAGTCATCCTCTCGTTGAGCTGGCGAACGTCATCTCGGATGCACGTGAGAGTGTCGAAGATCTTCTTCACCCAAGAAGGTTCCGGTGCTTCTTCTCTCGGACGAGTCCTCCGCCGACGAGTGACGCGCTCCGTGGCTCGACTACCTCCGGCTTGAGATGACCCAGCTTGATTCTCGTTTTGGCTTTCTTCTTCTTCTTTAGCGACGACCAAGTCCAGATTTGGTGCAGCATCTCCCTCCTCTCGATACACGATCCGGGAAAACTTGGCTTCAGTGATGAAACAAGTCTTCTTAACCGGCACCTGAGTGTCCCGAGTAAAGTCTATTTTGCAATGTGCAAGGATATGCATAACGGGGATGGCAAACCGGAGATGGGAAAAACGAGTGCCATCGCTAAGGGCAACGATAAAGAAGTGAACCCAATCAAATTTGACATCGTTCAACAGGACGTGAAACAAGCGAATATCGTCCTTGTTGACGACGCCATGGTTCGAATCACGGGGCAACAAAACATATGAAAAAATATATTGTTGGACACGTTGAATTAAAGTGAGATTAACGACACTCGGGTTGCTAGAGTTTCTAAACTTGAGGTCACGATGATCCAACCCGAGTTGTCGCCAAATTGCCTCATCTTGGAATGTTTCATCCAAGTTTTCGGTAATTTCGCCGCGACGAAGACCAAACAACGAAGTCAAACCGGCATCGTCAATGAAAACGGTTTTGCCGTCAACATAAGAAATGAGAGATGGCGAACTTCCCTTAGTGGTACGAAGATTTGCATAAAATTGACGTATAAGATTTGGACAGAAAAATTTATACGTCAAATGAATGAACCGAAGCAATCCTTGTTGAAAGAACATAGACTTACTCGGGGCATAGGTCGCCGATTTGAAGAGGTCCTTGTTCACGATCTTGGGAGAGACGATCTCCTTCGTGAGGAAGATGTTGTGGAACCTCTCGACGGAAGCCCCGGTGTTGAAGGCGAGACCCGTTTGAATGTGAATGTACTTGCTCCCTTCATGACGCCATGGCCTCTCATTCTCCTCTGCCGCCGTTTCTTGACCCGAGGAAGCGTTCTTACACCTTGGCATTCTTCCTTGATGAAATTGGACAAGAAAAAGGAAGAGATTTGAGAATTTATGATGAAGATTGAAAAAAAATTGAGAGGGGAAGGCTAGGGTTTCTGTGATTCGAAAAGAGGGAATGGCGAAGAAGACGAAGCCTGCGCTGGATATAGGGCGAAAATCGAATATTAATCGATTAAAATGAAGTATTTAATCGATTAAGGAACACACCCGAGACAAAATCGATTAAATGAAGCATATTAATCGATTAGAAGAAGCAGAGCCAAAACGTCTCTTCCAAGATATTAATCGATTAATCATAGAAGGTTAATCGATTAAGAAAGACAGAAGAGTCTAATCGATTAATTGAACAAAATTAATCGATTAATAGGTGAATCAGCGCTAAAGACGTTTTGCACATTAATCGATTAAACATAAACGATTAATCGATTAAGAGAGACAGAGGCGACTAATCGATTTTTCTTTGAGGAATAATCGATTAAAATGTGTTTGACAGAAAAAAAAATATCAAGTCCAATTAGGTTGAATACCAAGGGAAGAGATACCTACAATAAATGCCCTGCAAAAAAAAATTATTGCGCCTCCGACGCTCAAATTAGTATCATCAATAAAAAGAGTAAGTTAGTTCATAGAGATATCCAAAATGCCAAGTTCATTCCGAATGTGAAAGAAACTCTCCCTACTTAGGGGTTTCGTGAAAATGTCGGCCAATTGATGTTTCGTTTCAACAAACTCAATTGTGACATCTCCCTTTTGGACGTGATCTCGTATGAAGTGATGCCTAATTTCAATGTGTTTAGTCCTGGAGTGAAGAACGTGGTTCTTCGATAGACTAATGGCGCTCATATTGTCACACCTAATTGGGATGTGATCAAGTATAAGGCCGAAATCCACTAGTTGTTGTTTTAGCCAAAGAATTTGGGCACAACAACTTCC